CCCCCCGCACCCCACACCCCCAGCTCCGAGCTCCCCCCTCGCCCCCAGCTCCCAGCTCCGCTCTGTCCCCCCGCAGTCTGATGGAATGCGCGGTGGAGCACCCGGCCATCGCCAAGTCTGTGGAGAACTTCGTGAGCCTGGTGAAGGGGCTGCTGGAGAAGCTGCTGGACTACCGGGACGTGATGGCGGACGACAGCAAGGACAACCGCATGAGCTGCACTGTGAACCTGCTGGGGGGGGGCAGGGCTCGCTGTGCCTCCGTTTCCCAGCTGGGTTCTCCCGTCACGTGGGGAACGGCCGGCCGCGCAGGGCCAGGCTCCTGTCATCACATGACCATGCTGTCTGTCACCTGACACTCCATCCCCCAGGCGGCAGGACCCCCCCCCCATCGCCCCTCTCCTGTCCCCAGCCTGGGCTTCCATGGCTTAGCTCTTCCATTGATCCTCCAGAAGGCTGAGGGGGCTTGAAACTCCTGACACGGCAGAGAGGGAGTGTGTGCTGAAAACTCACGGCCCAGCATGCTGAAAGAGCAGCCGGAGGGTCCCGGGCCCCCACGGCCCCCCTGGGAGGAGCAAGTGACCTTGGGATGGCCACCCAGACGGGGAGAGGAGGGGACAGGCTACCGCCCGCAGCCCCAGCTGCCAGCTGTCCGCCTGGACGGCCGTGGGGGCGGGGCGGGGGTGAGCAGGCTGCCCGCCCATGCCCGCGGCCTGTGCCCTGGACACGCCCCGGCCCCAAGCACACTCGAGTGACTTGGATCACACAGGGTCAGCAAATGCTGCGCCACTCCAGCCCCAACAGTGAGGTGTAGAGATAGGGTCTGCTTCTGCCCTGGAGCTCCAGTCTGCAGTGCTCCTGTCTGACCTGATGGCTGGGACCATGTGTGTGCAATGGGGCCTGGCGAACGTTTTCACCCCAGGAAGAAGCCTGGGACCCTTGATCCTCCCAAGCTCTGCTTCAGTGCAGCCTGGACGGTGGGCAGGGCCCTGGGCCGGCTCGGGGGCCCTGGGCCGGCTCGATCTGTTACTGTTCCAGGTTGCACTTGCTCCCCAGAGCTGTGCCCTGTGCATCACGGCCACGCTTCTAAAGATTATGCCGTGCGCCTGTCTCAGCCCAGCCGAGGCTCACCTGTGTCCCCCCAGGACACCATGGCTGAGACCCCACCTCGTCCCCACAGCCTGGGCAGGGGCTTTCCTACCCCGGGGCTCTGCACGGAAAACACTCACCCCTGTCTCTCTCCCCGCCTAGAATTTCTACAAGGATAACAACCGGGAGGAGATGTACATAAGGTGAGAGGCTTGTCTTCTAACCCGCCTGCCCTGCGGCTCCCCCAGGGGCCACGCCTCCCAGAGCTCAGGCTTTCTTCTTCATCTCAGGCTGGTGGTGCTGCAATTCCATCAAACCCCACCCTCAACTCCTTCCCCTCCTCTGCAGCAGCCCTGAGACCTCCTGAGTCCGCTGGGCTGACCGCTGAGTCCTCTAGCTGACCACTCGGTCCTCTGAGCTGACCGCTGAATCCTCTAGGCTGACCACTCAGTACTCTAGCTGACCACTGAGTCCTCTGAGCTGACTACTCAGTCTTCTAGCTGACCACTCAGTCTTCTGAGCTGACCACTCAGGCCTCTAGCTGACTACTCAGTCTTCTGAGCTGACCACTCAGGCCTCTAGCTGGCCACTCAGTCCTCTGGGCTGACCACTGAATCCTCTAGCTGACCATTCAGTCCTCTGGGCTGACCACTGAGTCCTCTGGACTGGCAACTGAGTCCTTAGCTGACCACTGAGTCCTTAGCTGACCACTGAGTCCTCTGGACTGGCAACTGAGTCCTCTAGCTGACCACTGAGTCCTCTAGCTGACTACCAAGTCCTCTGGGCCGCCTGCTGTCCTGTCTTGCCCGTGTCCCCTGGAACTCCCTCCCGTGGGTGCCTTGCATGTCTCTGTATTTGTCTTCTGTGAGTGCTGATCTCACGGGGCCTCCTTACCATGTTCCTGTACCGCACGCAATGCCCTTCACCCAAATTTGCAGACTCTGTTACTTTTTATCTCCCCTTCTCTCTTTGAAACGTTTTGTTACTCTTCTCCCACATCCACAGTCACCCAGCCCTCTCCCTTACCCCCAGCCCCCCAGCAACCCCCCACATTTTGCACATGGCTCATTTTATCCAGCCCCGTGGCTCAGGCGATGCGCTGCTTTGTCCGGGCACGGGCCACGGCCGTTGGCTAGTGTCTGGTCTGGAGGGAAGAGCAGTGGCATTTGCCTCCCACGGGCACATGGAAGATGCTGGAATTAATTAGCAAAGACTCTGGGGAGGCCTCAATCTGGAGCAAAGATATCCTTGGCCAACTTTGTTTCAGAATCTCATACTTTTTCCTGTGAAGGTTTTTATTAGTGTCGCCATCCATCCATCTATCTATCCATCCATCCATCTATCCATCAATCCATCTATCCATCTGTCCATCTATATATCTATCCATCCATCTATATCCATCCATCCATCCATCTATGTATCTATCTATCCATCTGTCTATCCATACTTCCATCTATCCATCCATCCATCCATCTATCCATCCATCCATCCATCTATCTATCCATCCATCCATCTATCCATTCATCCATCCATCCATCTATCTGTCTATCCATCCATCTATCCATCCATCCATCCATCTATTTATCTATCGTCCATCCATCCATCTATCCATCCACCCATCTATATCCATCCATCTATGTATCTATCCATCCATCCATCCATTTATCCATCCATAGCCATCCATCTATCCATCTGTCCATCCATTTATCTATATCCATCCATCTATGTATCCATCTGTCTATCCATTCTTCCATCTATCCATCCATCCATCCATCTTTCCATCCATCCATCCATCCATTCATCCATCTATCCATCCATCATCTATCCGTCCGTCCATCCATCTATCTATCCATCTATATCCATCCATCCATTTATCCATCCATCTATGTATGTATGTATATATGTATGTATGTATGTATGTATGTATCTATCTATCTATCTATCTCTCCATCTATCCATCCATCTAATTAGTGCCAGGACTGTGTCCCTAACTTCTCTGGGTCTCCTCTGGAAACGGGAATCCCAAAGACTCAACCATCATGGTTCAAAATCAGCTGCTTTGCCTTGGACCGGGGCCGGCAAGGGGCCCACAGGAGCTCAGAGCTGGCCGCCACCCTGAGGGCGGCTGCTGTCTGGGTGGATCAGGGAGGGTGCGGTTGTGCGTCTGGCTCCTTCCCGCTCCTGCCAGCCGCCTCCGGTCACGGCACCCGGTCGCCCGCCTCCGTCCCCCCCAGGTATCTGTACAAGCTCCGAGACCTCCACCTGGACTGCGACAACTACACGGAGGCGGCCTACACGCTGCTCCTGCACACCTGGCTGCTCAAGGTGCCGCTAGCCTCGGAACGGGCAGGGGGAGGTGCCCCCCCCGGCTCCTCGCTCGGCCCCGCCCCCAAGCTTGGAAGCCGGCATGCTTCGCCCGGCCGAGGTTCTGAGGGGTTTACATTCAGCCACGGAAGCCCCCAGGGCTTCGCGCCGCCCAGCTGTGAGCGGCCACCAAGCCCAGCCTGGCCACGGAGCGGCCCGCCGAGCCGCTCTCCTTCCCAGGGAAGACACACTGTGGACCAAGTCCACGTGGTCCCCTTTGAACAGCTGGGGCTGGGTCTCCCGGGGCTGGATGAGATCCTCACAGACCGCGCAGCGCGAGCCGTGGGGTCACGTGGCCTGGCTGGAAGCGCAGGGTGTCTGTGCGGGACTCTGGTCAGGGTGCTCGTCACGGTGGTCCTCGGGTCTCACGTCCACTCCACTCAGTTACCAGAGACGCAGCTGCAGGCCCACGCCAGACACCGGGGTCCTCGGACCCCGCGCGGACCTCCTGGGAGGACGTGCATGACCCCCACGCCCCGTCCCGTGTGCCGTCCACGTGGCACCGCGTGACCCTGTGTCCCCGTCCTGTGTGCCATCCACGTGGCACCACGTGACCCCCACGCCCCGTCCTATGTGCCGTCACGTAGCACCACGTGACCCCACACCCCTGTCCCGTGTGCCGTCCACGTGGCACCGCGTGACTCCGTGTCCCATCCCGTGTGCCGTCCACGTGGCACCATGTGACCCCGCACCCCTGTCCCGTGTGCCATCCACGTGGCACCATGTGACCCCGTGTCCCATCCCGTGTGCCGTCCACGTGGCACCATGTGACCCCACTCCCGTCCCGTGTGCGATCCACGTGGCACCATGTGACCCCGTGTCCCATCCCGTGTGCCGTCCACGTGGCACCATGTGACCCCACGCCCGTCCCGTGTGCCGTCCACGTGGTACCGCGTGACCCCGCACCCCTGTCCCATGTGCCGTCCCCGTCCCGTGTGCCGTCATGTGGCACCGCGTGACCCCATGCCCCCTGTGCCCCGCCCGCAGTGGTCGGATGAGCCGTGCACATCGCAGGTGGTGCAGACGGGCCGGCAGTCCCCGCAGACGCACCGGCAGCTGAAGGAGGCGCTCTACGAGACCATCATCGGCTACTTCGACAAAGGAAAGGTGAGCCGCGCCCCCGCGCCGCGTCCCTCTGTACCCGCCACGGAATGTCCAGCGGCTGGGACCGACCCCGCGTGGGTGCCGTCAGCGAGTGGGCCCGGGGAGGGACGTGGCACCGGCGCTAGTCTCCGGATCACAGGGGTCCTCGGGTGGATTTGGCTGAGAGACTGGGCAGAGCAGCGGCCGCCTCACCCACGTCCCGCGGGCGGGGCCACCTGTCCCACGGCGGCTTCCGCGGGGCCTGGCCCCGCGCCTCTCTTCTCTACGCCTCGGCCTCCGCCCCTGCACTGCCCATCTTCTTCCCAGTGTGGGAATGAGGGGGGACGTCTCAGTGAGCTGGGAGCACTGGGCCTGGGGCGCGGGACGCCTGGCCGTGGCTCCCCGCTGCCTGGGGCGCTCCCCGCTGCCCCCCATCTCCACCCCGCCGGCCCCATCCCTCCCAGTGGATCGGGGCAGCCCTGAGCCCCTGCATCCTGTCCTGCAGTCCACTGCCTGACCCCCGCCCTCACGTCATGTCTGCACAGGGCTGGTAAATTCCGGGCCCCCGGGGAGGCCGTGGGTGTCATTTATGAGGATCAGCCCTCCAGGGCAGAGGCCTGTCTCTGGGCCTCTGGCCGCAGGCAGCAGAGCCGAGCTCGCCGTGGGTGTGTTGCTGTTGGCGCACCGGCCCGTCCTTGGGGACCAGGTGGGCTTTGTCCTCAGCCAGCGGGCCACGCAGCGCTCCGTCAGGCGTGGAGGCTGGAGCCCCACCCCGGGGCAACCTGTCTCGTAGGGAAATGGCACGGGAAGGACTTGGGGTCAGGAGGCGGGACATCTGTCCCCAGAGCAGGCCGTGGGTGGAGATGGCTCACCCTGAAAGCCACAGTGTTGGAAGCTTCTACATAGAAGCCCCAACTCCCTAGCCTGCTCTAGCTTTCCTTCTCCTGGACGGAGGAGAGGCCGGACGAGGCTCCGAGGGTGATCTCTGCCCTGGTCCTGGGGTGGCAGCCACCGTGTGTGGACGGATGCCCGGCACTCGCCAATCCCACCTCCGGCCCCACACTCCCGGCCCCTGGGGCTCCGCGGCGTGTCCGGTCCGCCTTTCTCTCTGCCTCACCGTGGCACGCATGCGGTGCCCTGTGCCGTATACCCAGGGCCCAGCAGCTGCTCCTCAGTGAATCCCAGAGGCCCAGAACACCACCGGGCCCGGGAGGACCAGGGAGCAAGTGCCCGCTGACTTCCCGCCCCGCCCTGCCCGGCACTCAGTGACCCGACCTGGGCCTGGGGTCAGGCCTGCTTCTCCTCGTCCTGTCCCAGGGCAGCTGGGGAGGCCCAGGGACCCCACACGGCCCCCACCGCCCCCACGGAGGGCCGCACGTTCAGCTCTTCTGCACATACAGTGTTTCCCCGCTGCTCGCTACGCCGTCTGTGGTTTACAGCCCCGTCCTCCCGCCCCGCGCCTGGCTCTGTTTATTTTTATGGCTGGGCACAGCAGACACGATTGTCACCCAGCGCCCAGGCCTCCTGGCCACCGCCAGCCGCCCCCCCCCCCGGGGGCTCCTCCACTGAGGGGGGCTTGGCAAAAGTCTGCAAGACTCTTATCTCTAATGAATCAGCAAAAAGCAGAAGTGGACCTGTGGCTCAAGTGATAAAGCACCGGTTCTGGGTAAACAAAAAAGCCCAGGGACAGCATCCAGCCCCAGCCCCAGCCCACAAAAACAGAGGTGTTAGCATCACCCCCATCCTCACTCCACTCCAGGGGCCTCCTCCTGGCTCCAGACCCGTCACCCCGTTGAGCAGGGCTGGGACGGGCAGAGGGGGGGATCCAGACCCAGGCCTCCAGGAGCCCAGCACTGCGCCAGCTTCCTCCGGCCGCTGGCTCACTTCTTCAGAAAGTGGGGCCCTGCACCCCGCCCCACTGCATGCTGGGATCTGAGGGGCAGGGGGCTGAGTTCCTGGGCTGGTCCCTAGGTAGGGGTGGGGTCTCGGCCCTGGGGCCGCATGCCAGCCTGCTCAGCTTGGCGGTGCCCTGGGCGTTTTCCTGGCTCTCGGAACCTCCATCTCTCGCTTCCTGAGACAGGCGGATTGTGAGTTCCGAGAGCATGGCAGGCAGCACGCACGAAGCCCGCCAGCCTTGCTGCAGAAGCGGGCAGAGGCCAGGAAAGGCCATCGACACCCTCCCTGCGGAGCCAGCTCCGGGCCTCTGGGGGCCAGGCTGGGCTCCAGGCCTCTGGGGGCCGGGCACCCCTGACCTCTGCTGTGTGTTGCACAGATGTGGGAGGAGGCCATCAGCTTGTGCAAGGAGCTGGCAGAACAGTACGAGATGGAGCTCTTCGACTACGAGCTGCTCAGCCGCAACCTGGTGAGGCAGGGGA